GAGAGGGATTGGTTAAAGGACAAAATGTTAATATTTACACTGACTCCAAGTATGCCTTTGGTGTAGTTCATAATTTTGGGAAAATATGGAAAATAAGGGGGTTTGTGAGGACAGATTATAAGAAAATATCCCACGGAGATTTGATTTCTGATTTACTAGAAGCCATCCATTTGCCTGCTCAAGACAGTGATTAAATGCAAAGGTCTTCTGTATTCTGACGATCATGTTGTAAGAGGCAATTCACTGGCTGATCAGTTGGCTAAAGAGGCTGCCCAATTGCTGCTGGCTGATACTTCCCCACTTGATTCAATGGACCCTCATGGTACTACCGTCCCTCCCTGCGGACACCCTCTTGAGAGAATTACAAATGACAGCTGCACAGGAGGGTGTAGAATTTTGGAAGGAGTCAGAGTTGTCACTAGACCAAGATGGTTTAGCCCGGGTGCACACTGATGCGGAATTCGCAGTATTTTCTGTGCGAATTCCGCACCGCATCAGAATCCCACCCCGTTCATGCGAACCGCTGCGGGTGTGTATGTTAACAACACCCCGAAAGCAGTCCGCCAAACTCAGTGCGATGTGCAGAATTGGTGTAAATACTCATGTGGTCTGATTCTAGTGCGGACTAAAAAAAGAGTCCTGCAAGTTTTTGGTGCGGTGCGAATAGAGCCATACATAATGTATGGCCCCGATAGCACCACACACAAATCGCATGTGATTTGCACAGGAATGCAGTGCGGTTCCTGTGCAAATCACATGCGATGTACCGCACTGCATGTATGTGAACCCGGGCTTAAAACAAAAGGAGAGGGAAGATAGTTACTCCTTTTTTTTATTTTTTTAAGCTTTTCTGTCCTTCAGTCTCTCTGAGTTTATGTTCTTGTTTACGAAACTAGGTGATAACTTTGGCATGATATTCTGTAAGCAACAGTAACTTCTGATCAGGGCACATACTTTGGCATAAGGCCCAGTTTCTGTGCAGAAAAGCTAAAAATGGCTAGTTTCGTATCAGATGGTTTATGCATGACTTGTGAGTATGCTACAATGTATACTCCTTGACAGGGTGGACTTGATTTAAATAAAGTTGATTTAAATCATTAGTGAAAAGGCTCGATTTAAATCATAATTTGTAAAGATCAACTGCCATCTCTGTCCCGCAGCGGCTCCTCCTCTGACCTGCTGATGACTCACCGACAGTCCCATTCACTTTAATGGGACAACTGCTGATGTGGCAGGGACACAACAAGGTGAGGGACGTGGCGGCAGCAGGTGAGTGGATGCCCACTAACAAGCGCTGCCATGATGGATCTAAAATGACAGGTGCTCTTTAAATGTAAGTAATCTGACTCATTCTTGCTGGTAGTTAGAATCTTTAATATTTGCAAACCAAATGAAGGTTTCCTTTTTACAATAATAAGCTTTCAGGTTAGTAAAACAGCGATGTCAGAACCTATTTTAGTAAATCAAAAACAAATTCTCCTGCGCTCTAGGACCCAGACGGGTGGCGAATGGAGGGAACCAGACCTGGAAAAATCGACCACCAGTGCATGTAGGGTTGTGCGGCTCCAAACAAGGCTGGGGAAGCCCGACCAATACTGCAGAACGAAATGAAAACAAGAAGCGCTCCAACCTTGCGCATTACCTCAGTAACAAATTTATTAATTATAAAAATATACTCACAAACAGCGAATAAAATCAGGCATGTAAGTCCTCAAATGGACTTGAAGACAGCGCGAATCCCATCAAGGGGGATGATATTCAGTACAGCTGACGCGTTTCGAAGGGTGTCCCTTCTTCATCAGAGCACCCTTCGAAACACGTCAGCTGTACTGAATATCCATCCCCCTTGATGGGATTCGCGCTGTCTTCAAGTCCATTTGAGGACTTACATGCCTGATTTTATTCGCTGTTTGTGAGTATATTTTTATAATTAATACATTTTGGTTACTGAGGTAATGTGCAAGGTTGGTGCGCTTCTCGTTTTCATTTCGTTCTGCAGAACCTATTTTAGGGTAACAGGTTAATCACACGTAGCTGGAAAACGACTCAGATTCTTTTATTTCATGTTTTTTTTCATGGTTACTGTGAAATTGTGTGAATGCATCAATGCAGTGCATGTTATCAGAGCTTGGATTCATTGAATGAGATTACCAAAAATGTAAATATTGCAGAATATACAGCCTCATGCTACATAACTAAGCTCCATTTCATGCTGAATAAACTAAATTATTAATCTATTTTAAATAGATTTTTACTCCAAAAGTATATTACTAAAATTTGATAAACATAAAAAAAATCCAATTTAATTAAAAAAAAAAATTATTGGTTAAAGGCCCTATTATAGCTGCCCACCTTCTTACACATAATTTTGAATACAGTGAGTAAAACTTTGAATACGACGTACAATACCTTTTTGGTATGGTCTGATCTTATTCCCAGCTACCAGTGGTAGGATGGATAGGAGAGTGAGAGCATCCTGCCTGAAATTAACCATTACAATGGCTAGATCTTGTGTTCGGGCATGTTCTGTGTACACAAATGGCTAGTTCTGATGTAAATAATATTCGGTATACAGACATGGCCAATTCAAGTGTGGAGGATATTCTGTACATGTGGATGGCTAGCTACGGTATTAAAGATCTTCTGTGTACCAGATGGTGAGGTCCAGTGTGGAGGATATTCTGTGTATGCAGAAGGCTAGCTCTGGTGTTTGGGGGATATTCTAATAATAATACAGATGGCTAGCTTCAGTTTGGGGGATATTCTAGGTACACGCATGGCTTTCTCCATTGAGAAGGATATTATGTAGACCTAGATGGCTATCTTCAGTGTGGAGGATATGGATGGCTGGCTCTGGTGAGAGAACTATTCTGCGGACATGCATGGCAAGCCCTGGTGTGGGGATATTCTGTGTACATAGACAGATGGTTCTAGTGTGGTGTATATTCTGTGTATTAGATGGTTTTCTCCTGTGTGAAGGATATTCTGTGTATTACATGGTTTGCTCCTGTGTGGAGGATATTCTGTGTATTACATGGTTTGCTCCTGTGTGGAGGATATTCTGTGTATTACATGGTTTTGCTCCTGTGTGGAGGATATTCTGTGTATTAGATGGTTTGCTCCTGTGTGGAGGATATTCTGTGTATTACATGGTTTGCTCCTGTGTGGAGGATATTCTGTGTATTAGATGGTTTGCTCCTGTGTGAAGGATATTCTGTGTATTAGATGGTTTGCTCCTGTGTGGAGGATATTCTGTGTATTAGATGGTTTGCTCCTGTGTGAAGGATATTCTGTGTATTACATGGTTTGCTCCTGTGTGGAGGATATTCTGTGTATTAGATGGTTTGCTCCTGTGTGGAGGATATTCTGTGTATTAGATGGTTTGCTCCTGTGTGGAGGATATTCTGTGTATTAGATGGTTTGCTCCTGTGTGGAGGATATTCTGTGTATTACATGGTTTGCTCCTGTGTGGAGGATCTTCTATGTACTAGATGGTTCCCTCCAAAGCGGGGGGGATCTTCTGTGTACTGGAATGTTTGCTCTAATGCGGGGGATCTTCTGTATACTAGATGGCTAGTTCTAGTGTGGAGGATATTCTATATACTAGATGGTTTGCTCCAATGTGGGGGATATTCTGCATACACAGATGCTTAGCTCTGGTGTTGGTGATTTTCTGTGTACACGGATAGTTAGCTTTGGTGTGGAGGATCTTCTGTGTACTAGATGGTTCTCTCCAGTGCGGGGGATCTTCTGTGTTACTAGATGGTTCTCTCCAGTGCGGGGGATCTTCTGTGTACTAGATGGTTCTCTCCAGTGCGGGGGATCTTCTGTGTACTAGATGGTTCTCTCCAGTGCAGGGGATCTTCTGTGTACTAGATGGTTCTCTCCAGTGCGGGGGATCTTCTGTGTACTAGATGGTTCTCTCCAGTGCGGGGGATCTTCTGTGTACTAGATGGTTCTCTCCAGTGCGGGGGATCTTCTGTGTACTAGATGGTTCTCTCCAGTGCGGGGGATCTTCTGTGTACTAGATGGTTCTCTCCAGTGCGGGGGATCTTCTGTGTACTAGATGGTTCTCTCCAAAGCGGGGGATCTTCTGTGTACTAGATGGTTCGCTCTAATGCGAGGGATCTTCTGTGTCCTAGATGGCTATTTCTAGTGTGGAGGATATTCTATGTACTAGATGGTTTGCTCCAAAGTGGGGGATCTTCTGTGTACTAGATGGCTACTTCTAGTGTGGGGGATCTTCTGCATACACAGCTGGTTAGCTCTGGTGTGGAGGATCTTCTGTGTACTAGATGGCTACTTCTAGTGTGGGGGATCTTCTGTATAGTAGATGGTTCGCTCCAGTGTGAGGGATCTTCTGTGTACTAGATGGTTCGCTCCAGTGTGAGGGATCTTCTGTGTACTAGATGGTTCGCTCCAGTGTGAGGGATCTTCTGTGTACTAGATGGTTCGCTCCAGTGTGAGGGATCTTCTGTGTACTAGATGGTTCGCTCCAGTGTGAGGGATCTTCTGTGTACTAGATGGTTCGCTCCAGTGTGAGGGATCTTCTGTGTACTAGATGGTTCGCTCCAGTGTGAGGGATCTTCTGTGTACTAGATGGTTCGCTCCAGTGTGAGGGATCTTCTGTGTACTAGATGGTTCGCTCCGGTGCAGGGGCTATTCTGTGTACTAGATGGTTCGCTCCAGTGTGGGGGATCTTCTGCATACACAGATGGTTAGCTCTGGTGTGCTGATATTCATGTACACAGATTGCTGGCCTGTGCTCTGGCATGCGATGATTACAGACAAGCACACAGAAGGAATTATGAGGGTTTTTTTCTCTTTATTTCAGTGCAGTGCAACAGAACTAACAAAACAATACAGTAAATGGAATATACAACTCGTCCAGATGTGTGAATGTTCCCGCCATACAGGCAATTAGTCGTTTTCTCGCTGTTATCATCCGGACGATCCTGCAAGACGAAGCGCTCGCCATTAACTCCTCCATGCCTGGGCTGTCACTTTTTAATGGAGAAACTTCTGAACTCTAGTTGTTGGATGTCCCTCTGGTTGTGAAATTTGGCCTCTGTGATTCGGGATTTGGGGCTCCCCTTGTTCTGCAGCCATTCCTGCATCTCCCGCACTCGGCTTAGCGGCCCCTGAATCTGCCCCTGGACTGTCCCGTTGTCTGTATTTTGCACCCAGCCAACCAAGCCCAGGCGTGTCCCCTCCGCCTGAAATTGGGAGAACAAAGAGCCTGTCAGTTTAATGGCAGGACATCAGACACCTGAGCAATAAGAGTGACCATATATGACAGGCCCACAGGGGGCACCATGTGAGCTCCTCAGTGAGAATGCTGAGCGGGATTGATGGATGGATGGATGTTACCTGTGTGTACTTGCGGAAGAAAACCCCCTGAACCTTCCCAAACACCTCATAGTCTAGGGAGACGAGCGAGCCACCCTCCGCCATGTTCCTGAGGGGGAAGAAACAAATGACACGGTTACCACGGTGATGGCTCTTTGATTCTCCTCCAACCAATCCCTCTGCTCAGCTCTCTACTTCCATCATCACTGTCATGTGGCTTTGCTGTTCCATATTTCCATCTCTGCATTTTTCATCTTTGCATTTAATCATAGTCTTCAAATACTGGCTGATTGTATCTCAGACATGGCAGTCTACACCCACAGGTGAATGGCTGCTGAGATAAAACCAACTTCTGGATAACACTGTGCTCATGGACATGGGGCCCCTGTGTGCACAGGAGGAGTGAGAAGGCACAGAGATTGCATTAGACAGGAGGGGCCCCTCCGTGGCTGTATATATATATATGGGACATCTGCTGCCACAGTCCTACTTGCCTCATACAGGCGGGACCCCTGTGTACACTGGAGGAATGAGAAGACACAAGGTGACCCCCATACATGGCTGCACATATTGGGGGGCCTCTGCTGGCAAAATCCTAACCCTCTCTACAAGGAGGGGCCCCTCTGTACACATGAGAAATGAGAAGACAAAAGGAGGCTCCCATACACAGGAGGGGCCCTCCCTCTACACTATCTACCCCCCATGGCTGGATATACAGGAGACCTCAAAATCCTCTACCCTTGCCATATACAGGGGGGCCTCTGCTAAAAGAACCCTCCACCCCCATACAAAGGAGGAATGAGAAGACACAAGGGGACCCCCATATACAGGAGGGGCCCCCATTGTTGGATATATAGGGGCCTCTGCTGAATTAAACCTTCACCCCTATACAAAAGGCCAGTGAGAAGACATAAGGAGGCCCCTATATACAGGAGGGGCCCCTTACCTCTATCCTCTACCCCCTAACAATCCTATGCCCCCATTATATACAGGGGTGGGGCCACATGGTTGAGGGGCCTCTGCTGAAACAAACCTCCATCCCCATGCAGAAGAGGAATGAGAAAACACAAGGAGTCCCTATATACAGGAGGGTCCCCTTACCTCTATTCTCTACACTTCTTCCGATGGCTGGATATATAGGGGGGCCTCATAAGCCCCTGCCCCCGCATTATACAGGAGGGGCCCCCATGGTTGAATATATAGGGGCCTCTGCTGACACACACTACACAGGAGGAATGAGAAGACAGAGAAGGGGCCCCAAATTTCCCCCCCATGGCTTGATATATAGGGAAACCTGCTGCAATCCTCTACCCCCACCAAACACGAGGGCCCCCCAACCCTTCTGCTTCCCTTCCCCCATACACAAGAAATGAATATATAGGGGGCATCTACAGACACAACCCCACCTCTCCATACACCAGAGACCCCCCTTCATGGCTAGATATATGGGGGGGGGGGGCCTCACATCCCTCTACCAACACCCCCATGACTGACTATAGAGGGGGGGCCTCACAATGCTCTACCCCCACCATACACAGAAAGAGCCCCTCCATGGCTGGATATATAGGAGGCTTCTGTAGACACAACCTGGCTGAATATACAGAGGGGTCTTGCAATTCTTTGCCTCCCTCCCCCCACCTAAACACAGTGGATGGGGCCCCTCTGTGGCAGGGTATATAGGGGTCTCCCCTCCCCATTTACAGGGGGGCTCCTACAGGCTGGATCTAGTTGGTCTCACAATCCTCCACACCCTTACACAGGAGGGCCCCTTCATATCTGGATTTACAACCCACTCACTCTGCGCTGCTCCGTTCCTATGACAACACCGGCCAGCAGAGTCCTAGGATGATGACGTAGGAGGCTCCGTTCCTGGGCACGTCTTCGGCTCCCTCATTGGTCTATCATCAGTATCCCGCGACGCAGCACGCTGATTGGTTTTTCTCCCTATATCCCGCCCCCTCCATTGTATCTATGGCAGCGGTCTCCATGGTTCCTGCAGTACACAGAGCTCTCCTTCCAGGATGGTGTGGAAGTGAAGAAGACCGGAGTTTTCCCGCCGCCATTCATCCTTCCAGTGTCGGTGAGTAGAATCCCGGCTCTCCGTGTCCCCGGCCTGGAGGGACCCAGCACACAGTCAGCGTCACCCTGTGGTGGCGGTGCAGCCCCTCCCCCACACCCTGCCCTGTGTCTGCTCTGTGTGCCACCCATTGTGCGGTGTAGAGGGTGAGCCTAGCCGGGTGTAAGCTCTGGCGGGTTTTGTTTTCAGGAGGACAGTTGATTGCGTCGTTTGTTTACCGGCATCTTCTATGGGGGGGGGGCAAACGTCCAGGAAAATTCCTGAGATCCTCTATAAAACCACTATGGGGGGGGGGGGGGGGCAAGGGGTATATGCACCGCACTCACACAGCCAAGAGAGCACAGGGTATGTGCGACCACAGCGTCCGGGGTGTGTGCACACAGCCAGAGCATACAGGGTATGCGCAACGCGCACATGGCCACAGCGTGCAGAGTATGCTCACCGCACACGTGTGGCCACAGTGGATGGGGTATATACAGGGTGGATTTGATTTAAATCACTAGTCAGTAAGGCTTGATGTAAATCCTAGTTTTCTACATAAAGACTAATTCTTGCTGGTATAACTTTAATATACAAGTAGATGAAGATTTTTAGAATAACTTTTCATATTAGTTTTTTATCCCCAGTTTTAATAGGTTAATCATTCATATTTGGACAACTTTTCTGTTGTATTTAGGAAGGAGAAAAATAATCATTACCTTAATAATAATTTAAATAGATTTATTCAACTGAAACAATAACATTCCAGCATATGTGATTTGCTTAAACATCCATGTTTGGTAACTAATTTGGCTAAACAAAATCTATATATTTGAAGAAACTTAGACTGTCAGCCCCTTCCTCCTCACACTTAGTTTCACTTTCTTCTTGTGCAGATCTATTCCACTCCAAACAATCAGAAAAATATTGTTTCTATTCTATTCACTGAACTTCTTGAACCTTAGCACTGAAGGGGTTGATTCTGTATTCATAGGTTTGTAGAAGTTAGGATGAAGGTCTTTTTCTTAACTCTGTTCATGTTATAACATTTTTGCTGTGAAGAAGAGGCATGTGATCTCCGCTGAGTCCAATTCAGATTTGAGAATTGCAAAAGTAAACCAACATCTGTGATAATATCTTGTAGGCAGAGAAACTGCCCAATAATCGTACAAAAACCTCTGGAAGAGCATGACATTGTGAATGGATTCATGGAATTTATTTACCAAAAAAATTAAACATATACAGCCTTATTCTACATAATTAAAAAACTAATCTTTATTTCATGATGGAATAACCTTTGGATGGTAATATATTTTCCTCCAAAAAGCATTTTTTATTCAAAAAAAAATCCGATTTTAAATTTTAAAAAAATCAGATTTTTTTTTTTTTTTTTTTAATCATTGATTTTTATCCACCCAGGTATATGCACCGCACTCACACAGTCAAGTGAGCACAGGGTATGTGCGGCCACAGCGTCCGGGGTGTGCGCACACAGCCAGAGCGTCCAGGGTATGCGCACCATGCGCGGCCACAGTGTCCAGGGTGTGTGCGCACACAGCCAGAGCATACGGGGTATGTGCGCGGCCAGAGAGCACGGGGGTATGCGCACCGCGCGTGGCTAGAGCGTACGGCGTATGCAAACAGAGTGCAAACGGCCACAGCGTATGGGGTATGCGCACCCAGCCACAGCGTATGGGTTATGCGCACCGCACAGCCAGAGCGTACAGGGTATAGGCACCATACACATGGAATATTTCTAGGTTAACACCCACATCTTATTTTTGGGGAGTCTGAGAGCTCGATATAAGTTTACCCTGTCTGGCTATGGTGGCACTAATCAATTTATATTACACGGCATACAAAGCCTGCACACAATGAACAGCTTGACGTGATACTAGACACACACTATTTAAAGGATACATTTACTTTAAAAAAAAAAAAAAAAAAAAAACATAATAAATGCACTCTTTTTTAGGAAACAAAAGTGGGTTTTTTTTTTTTTTATTTTTTTTTTTTTGTTAGGGTAAGGGGTTAGAGCTAAAGTTAGATTAGGGTTTGGGGTTAATATTTTATTTATTGTCTTAATATTTATGATTATTATTTTTGTTAGGGTAATAATAATAACAAATGAATACATGTAAAATAATACACAAATAAAAATAATCATCAATAAATAATACATAAGAAATAAACCCTAACCCTTTAAAAAATATATATTAATAATAATAAACCCTCTAATACAAAATAAGTTATACATTCTTTTTTTTTTTTTTTTTTTTCAGGTTTAGTGTGTATAATATATTAATAATTAGATTTTTTTTGTAGGGTTAGGGGTTGATTTTTATTTATTATATTTTGATTTTTATGATAATTTTGTATTTATTTTGTGTATTTACAGAACATCCAGAAAGTATTCACAGTGCTTAACTTTTGCCACATTTTGTTATGTTGCAGCCTGTCAGGGACATGTTGGCTGTGGCATAGCTGAGGTTCGTAGCCACACATGTACAGTCAGGTCCATAAATATTGGGACATCGACACAATTCTAACATTTTTGGCTCTATACACCACCACAATGGATTTGAATTGAAACGAACAAGATGTGCTTTAACTGCAGACTGTCAGCTTTAATTTGAGGGTATTTACATCCAAATCAGGTGAACGGTGTAGGAATTACAACAGTTTGCATATGTGCCTCCCACTTATTAAGGGACCAAAAGTAATGGGACAATTGGCTTCTCAGCTGTTCCATGGCCAGGTGTGTGTTATTCCTTCATTATCCCAATTACAATGAGCAGATAAAAGGTCCAGAGTTCATTTCAAGTGTGCTATTTGCATTTTGAATCTGTTGCTGTCAACTCTCAAGATCAGATCCAAAGAGCTGTCACTATCAGTGAAGCAAACCATCATTAGGCTGAAAAAACAAAACAAACCCATCAGAGAGATAGCAAAAACATTAGGCGTGGCCAAAACAACTGTTTGGAACATTCTTAAAAAGAAGGAACGCACCGGTGAGCTCAGCAACACCAAAAGACCCGGAAGACCACGG